CCACCATCAGCGCCTTTCTGATGCTTCGGGCAGAGGAGTCATTGATGGAGAACATCCCCTCCACTTCACACATTTCGCCTTTAATCATAAAGTGCAAGCTCTGTGCTCCTCTGGCCATCAGTGCCCAATCTGTGACATTCAGTAAAAAAAAAAAGAAAGAAAGAAAAGGCTCGTGTGCCACAAGGGCAGGAGAAGAGAAAGGACGATGGTGGAGTGAGGCTGTTCAGGGAGGATGAGGAAGGGGACACTGGTACTTTGAAACTGAAATGCCAGCCAGCAAAGTGACCTCCCCCATCTGCTGGCCAAAGCCACCCGCGAATAAAGCAGTGTACATCAGTTATCCATGACTAAACAAGAAAGCAGAGAACAGCGAGAGGGACGGTGCTTGGCCTGTGCAGTAGGACTGGGCAGCTGGCCAGACAAACCCAAAACACTTTTTTCTTAAACTCAGCTCATCAGAAAATGAGTAATTAGGCTTAAAATACCTACAAGATCCTAACAATCACAAAAATAGGAAGCCTTTAAAAAGTATAAAATCAAATCAAACCACATTTATTGTCACATCACATTAATACAGGTGTTAAGGTGAGTGAAAATCTTAGATGTGTACCCCCCTTGTAGTACTTAAATACAATATACATATATACATATGTTTAAAAATATGTATATACACATTAGATTAGGTTGGACTCTAAATATACACATTAATATACACCAGTATTGCATTGTACCAATGTACAGTCTTGTAACAGTAATATAGGTTTTGAAATAATAGCTATAATGTGTTGCTGCAATCAAGTTCTAAATTAGTTAATGTTTTTTTTTTTTCATGAAATGGTAAAATGTCTCACTTCTCAACATCTGATATGTGTTCTATGTTCTGTTGTGACTAAAATATGGGTCTATGAGATTTGCATTCTGTTTTATTTACATGTATTTAAATTTTACACAGAATCCCAACTTTTTTTGGAATTGGGGTTGTATATATATTTATATATGTATATCGCTTCTGTCGGAACAAAACCTTGTAAATCCATTTTTGTTGTTTTTCAGTTTTTAACATAATTTGAAAATGCCTGTTGCCCTTTATATTTTGTGTAAGTTTCATGATAAATGGACCAAAAGAAATGACCCAAAATTACTTGGAGAAATGTCTGGTTCCATTGATTTACATTAAAAGCAAAGTTTTTTTTTTGTACTTCTCCTGTAAACTTACCATTTGGGAGATACCTGCTTTTCTTTAGACAGCGACGATATGCACAATCATTGAGAAGGTATATTTTAACGTATGTACATCATGAATCTAGACCACATGACAGACATCAGCACACTACCTTATTAAACACACCTGATTCAGCTCGTCGGCTAATTAGCAAGGCCTTCATGAACTGAATTCAGAGCGTTAGATGAGGGTAAACACTAATATCCATAGCACTTTGGCCTGGAAGGTCCCCAGTTCGACATACGTGCTCTAGACCCTAGCAAAGCTCTCAGCTCTCAGGCAGTACACGCCAAACCCTTTAGGTGTCCTTGCTTTCCACTGCCCCAAAGCCATATTTTAGCATCCTTGAAGAAAATCCTGATCCTTGAATCTGAACCAATCAGGCATGAAAAGTGGACCAGAAGACATGATTGTCTTTCAGAGTGCTGAACAGCATCATGAGGATTTCGGCCGCATTAACATGTTTATATTGTTGAGCAGGAAAACATCTGTACAGTGTCACTGATCACTGCAATAAACTAGTCACTGTGTGGAAAAGCTGAGGATTATAAACTAAGAACAGAGCTGGGGTGTGATCCACTCTCAGTTCTCTCCATGGGTTTCAGAGACAGATGGAGCCGAGGGTCTGTGTTTACCCACCATAACAGAAAAGATGATGTCATTTACATGGTGGTACAGTCACCTGCACTGCTGCTGATTCTGGAGAGATTTCTGAATCCGCATGCTCTTCAGTTTTCTTAAAGCAATTTTTTAAAGCTTACACCTGAAGTTATGATTGCAGCTGGAAAGTGAGCATATCAGCACTTCCATTTTTTATTTTATTATTATTATTTTTGGGGGAAATTGTTACCAAAGATTATTTTTTCACACTTGTTGTTTATTCATGTCTTAATTACTTATTTTTGCTTGTAGCTCATCACAACATGTTGTCTTCATTGATTGTTTATTTACGTTTGGCAACTTCCAAACCTGGCACTTGCTGCACTTTGTGTATGCCCGAATCCCATTTCACCCCTCACCCCTACCACTTAGCCCTTAGCCCTCTGTTTTGCGCATTCACGTCTAGGAGTAGGGTGTCCCAATTTTTGTTGAGATAGAGGGGTAGGGTGAAGTGTTGGGGCTACATGGCCCTCCAAACGGAGGTTTTTCAGAGGCACTCCAAACAGAGTATTATGAGAAAAAAAGAAAGACCGGCAAGATGGCTGAACAAGAGACCAAAGAAAACCACAAATGTGAGAATTTTCTCTGTTGAAAATTACGATAACCACTATATTATCTTAGTTTAATGTCGTTTCAGTGTATCATGGTCGTTTTCTTCATAACAAGCATAAAAATCGCTAATAGCATGCTGATGTCTCGGTAGCTAGCTAGCTAAGTTTCCTGTTCCACCTTAAATAGTCCAGCAGTTCTGATGCCTGAAGCGCCAGAATGTAACTGCTGCACCATTTAAGGTGGAACAGGAAAGTTCGAACAAGAAGCTGGGGAACAGCTGACTTCAGCTTCGTATCACCAAAGAATTAGCAGTGGGTGATGATAAATAATTGCCCCCCTCTTTGAAGGCATATGATGCCCTAAATGTAACTAAAGCCCAGCAGTGAGGTTGCTGAACCTTTCACTTTTTTGGTGTTCAAAGGGGCACTCAGGAGCCTCCTCTCTATGGGCCTTTAGTGCGGCCTTTCGCTAGGACCACATTCATTCTATGCAGATTCAGTATCCAAAATTCCTTTAGATACAAGCAAGGACCAATCAGAGTGGAGGGGTTTGTTTACATGTGTCTGACCAACTTATTAAAGAAGAAATATCTCTTGTCAAGAAAAAATTCATATTTTTATTTTTATACATAGTTTTAAATATTAGCCACCCTTAAACACTGAGTGAAAGTGTAATGATAAATGAACCAATAGAAATCGTCCAAAATCACTTGCAATAAAATATCTTTATGTTGACTTACACTGAAAGTTAAGACCGCTTTGCCTTCTTTTGTAGTTACTTTTTTTTTGACAACAACAATATTATATGAGTAAAATACATTTGTTAATTATTCTATAGTGCCGCATTATGCTTGTGATTTCAGTCGAGCTATTGTAGATAAGCGAATTCAATCTTTTAAACTAATTAGCATGACCAATAACATCATTTTGCTGGGCACAGTAGGTTACGTTCCAAATGCGTGCTTTTAAAACCAGCACCCCTAAGGTCCAATTGTTGTTGTTGACATCACCAAAGTGCGTACTCTGAGGAGGACTGCAAGGCTTAGGGTGCTATTGGGACGGACCCACTAAAAAGGCCTATCTAAAGCTAATTTAACTACAAATTGTCTGTCCTGTTTACACTGTGAGGCTGTCCAAACTTAGTGAATGTTTCAATGTTATATAACAGTGCCAGCTGCTGGTCAGTATGTGTTACTGCATGTACAAGAGTTATTAATGGCTATTTTTCCTTTCTCTCCTATATTCTCGTCTAGATTAAGCACATACATTTAAGTCTCATCATTATTCCTTCTTTAAGTTTATTGGTATTCATTTAAATAATCTAATTGTTTTGGGTCGTCCTGACAACCCCACCAGCTTTTCCAACATAAGGACTTTTATTTTGATATTTAGGAAAATGTAAGAGGAAGTTTGATTTGTTTATATAGGTTAGTTTGCTCTGTAGTGCTGAGGTGTTTACTAGTTGTTTGTTTGAAAGTAAACAGTAAACGGACAAAATACAGTATTAAGCAGGTGAGCAGAGTATTTTCATCTATACGTTACGTATGTCTACGCAGCACGTAGTAAACTAAGCGAAGCTAAACTCAGCTTCTTGTTCGAATTTTCAGCTGCACTAATTAAGGTGGAACGGGAAAATTTGAGAGAGAAGCTGGCGAATAGGAAGCCAGCTTTAGCCTCGTGTAAGCTCGCTACTTGTAAACACGTCAGTGCCACTCCCCACCTCGCCCCTCTGGATTTTGCAGCGAGGAAACTTTTCTCCGCATCTCTTAGACTGGCTTTCTAATTTCGCCTCCTTAACCAGCACTGGGTAAAAAAACTTGCTCTGTCATTTCTTGCATTTCCAAAGTAACGCAGATGAAGTTGGCGTCTTATTCGCATTTTCCCGTTCCACCTTAAATGGTGCAACAGTTACATTCTGTATCAGACTATAACTGCTGCGCCATTTATAAAGGGCACGTCCACCACTTTGTCAGAATGTCTCCATAATTAAGTGGTTAAGATGTAAACAAAGTCATTCAGGGTGGTTTGGTGTGAAATGCTTCGTTCTAGAGAAACATACCGAGTCAGAATTGTTCACAGTGGTGGTGATAGGAACCAGACGTCCACCTCTAAAAGCTCCCTCACATAAAGTTAATAACATGGTTATGAATACACTGCCTGATGCCTGAGACAAACATTCAGGCTCAGTTTTATTTTTAATCAGGGATAGATGCAGGGTGCTGTAAGGCAAAAATAGTCCTGGAAAAAAAATATATATATTTTTTGCGATCTTTCATTATTTTACCATCATCAACATTACATATAAACACCTCAGAAGGCAGTGGAGGTAGAAATCTGAGTTTGTACAATGAACCATTTCACATCAAGCCACTCAGAATAACTGTCAACCACTGAATCATGGGGATTTTTGAAAAATGGGTGGCATATCACTTTAAGGCATTTAAGGTGGAATGGAAAATTCATATAAGGAACTGGCGAGTAAGCAGCCAACTTCAGCCTCGTTCCAAAGTTAAACTCTGGAGTTTAACGACTGGTGCTTGTTGTTGAATCAGTGAAACTTCCCCCTAAATACTAACTGGACTGTCCTCCTGCCCTATGGACAGCTCTAGTCAATCATTATTCACATAGCGCACAGGTTTGGTGGAATGGGGTTCAGATAGAGTCATATAGGCTGACTTGTTTGGGTACTGTTATTTTTAGTCAACTCAAAAAAGGGCTGTGCACTCTCCAAACTGTGCTGTGCTGGTAAGTGCACTCCATGACTCACGAGTAAGGAACTCTGTGTTTTATGAAAGCTGTCTTGCTGTCTGGCCTTATTGGCTCTAGGTTTGTCTTACTTTCTAGTTCAGACTTGTAACGCATGTATTCATTCATTTCAATTTAAGGATATGCCAGTAATATGACTCGACTCAGTAATTTGCAGGGCTGCCGGAGGAAAAAATGCTCAGCTTAAAGGGGAACTCCACCTATTTTTCCAAAATGTCTGCATAATTCATGTTAAAGTGTACTCAAATTCATTCAGACTGAATTCATGTGAAAGTTGCCATATAAGAATTGTTTACATTGTCCACACTAATGGTGTTAGGAACCAAACGTCCAAAGCATTTTTATGCCTCCAAAAGCTACCTCACAGAAACGTATTGTATGAAATGATTAGGATTACTCTGCCTTATGACTGAGACTTTGTTTTATCATAGTTTTGATTATGGCATAGAGGTACGTGCAGGCCATACTAAAGCAAAATAGAAAGTAGGTCCCAAAGAAAGCTTATTTTTCTCATTTATCGCTATTGTACCATCGTCAACATTGCATATATAAACTTAGAACAGCGTGCAGGTTCACTGCTTGTTTTGAATGGCAAAACATCCCCTGGTTCCTATCACCACCACTGTAAAGCAATTGAGTCTATCAAATTGAGTTCAGTATATATATGGGTCATTCTACAGAAATGTCCACTTTTCTATTTCTCCATAGGAGTCACTGGTGTTACCGATCCTCACTGGTGTTACACATGATAAAGGAAACACCAGAAACATTTTTAATGAAAAATACATTTTGCAAAATATCTGCTACAGATCATCAAACCACGTTGTCAATCATGGAATATCCACTAAAATAAGTAATTTAATCCATTTGAATTCTTTTTTTTTACAATTACCTCAGAATAAAGTAGGTCACACCAGTGACTTCAGCTAAAAGCTTCATATGAAATCATGAGCTAAATGAGAAAATCTCTGATAACTGAAAGACACAGTGGACTCAACATGTGCTTTTCTTCATAGATCTTCAGAAAATAGGTAAAAGGAAGTCAAGTGATGTCATCAGTATGACTTTTATTTCAAAATAAGAGAGTTTTTGTTATGTGGTAACACCAGTGACCCGACTCCTGGGGACCACAACTTTCATTACATATTTTGTAATATTTTTGACATTTGTTTTGTTTGTCATTTAATTCATATATTCCATAGTCATATATAGATTATTGCAGTTAAAACAGCAAAAAAACATGTTCTTTACCTCAAACTATGGCCTCACTCTTTACACATGACTGTGAATGAGCTCTTCTGTGGTGCTTGGAATTCTATATAATTGATTTAAAAACCAATATTGCTAAATTGAAGCTCAAGAAGGTGTAATTGTTGAAATAACATTTTGTTTTTTGTAAAATATAAATAAATTGTAACATGTTTTTTCAAGTGTAATATATCTGTAAACGCTAGGGACACAAAAATGGACGTTTCTGTAGAATGACCCATTAGTATTCTCTTGAATAGAAGCTATTGTAGTTAAATATAAAGCACCACCTTCAGACCTTCAAAGTATTGCGTAATGCTACAGTTTATCACTGAATTATACTGCCTTTATCATTTTAGGCATTACGTGGCTGCTTTGCCCTGCCAGTGTGGACGCTCCGATTGGTCTATGGCTCGAGTCCTAACTCTCTCTCGCTCTGTGCACCACTGGCGCCCCCTGTGGACAGGAACGACCCAGGCCTGGGTCAGAAGCATGTCATCACTAGAGGAGCGAGCTCGAGCTATGTTCGCAGCTGCGGTGGAGGGTGTGCAGCCAGACAGCGTGGTCCGACGGAGTCTGCAGCGAAATGGGGATGAGCTGCTTGTGGGGGACCGCACCTTTAAGCTCAGCAATAACCTCCATCTGGTGGGCTTCGGCAAAGCAGTGCTGGGGATGGCTGCTGAGGCAGAGAGGATTGTGGGGGACCACCTGGTTCGAGGGGTGATTAGTGTGCCTCACGGTATCCAGGAAACACTACAGCGTCATGGGAAGATGTAAGCACAGTGCTTCCATAATGGGGAATAGCATTTGATTGGAGGTTGTGGGCCTGCTGCAAAAATGATTCACTGCATAATGTCAGGACTTTAAGGAGAATTCTACCTATTTTCCAACACTTCTGCATACTACTCTACGCTTAGATGTAAACAAAATAATACAGAGTGGTTTGATGCAAAACACTATTGTAGAAAAACCTGCCAAGTTAAGAATTGTTCTCAGTGGTGATGATAGGAACCAGACGTCTAAGGGTTTACTGACTCTGAAAGTTCGCTCACAGAAAGATATTACGTGAAATTTTTATAAATATGCTGCCTGATGCCTGAAACATTGTTCTAGAATAGTTTTGCGATAAAGTTATGGAGTTAAATCCAAAGATACATGCAAGGCTGTACCAGAATAATCTCCAAAGACATTTTTTTCCAAATTTTCATTGCAGTTCCTGGTTCCTATCACCACCACTGTAAAGAAATCTAAGGTTCTTTAATGCACCATTTAACATCACACCACTCTGAATGCCTTTGTCAATAATTCAATTATGGAGAAATTTTAAAAAATTCCCCTTTAAATAGGACAAAGAGGTATTGAGATTACCTCTGATGTCCCGATTCTGACGGTCTGTTCTTGGCATAACTGTTTAGGAACATGTTGCTTGGAAGCAGCAGCAGAATTAAAGTGATGGAGGGCGCCAAGCACAACCTGCCAGACCCAGACGCGCAGAGGTCAGCTGAGAGTATCCGGGAACTCGTCAGCACTCTTACTGAGAGAGATCTGCTGCTCGTCCTCATTTCAGGTATTACATCAATGCTTACATCCAAGCTGTGGCCCTCGCAACACATAAAGGACAGTGACTTCAATTTTCTGTTTTAGATGGCACTGAATCTTTAGTTCACTTTACAAAGTTTTGAGACGTCAGAATTACTACAGAGTTAATGATACATGTATGTCTATGTGTAGGTGGTGGGTCTGCTCTTTTACCTGCTCCAATCCCACCAATAACCTTGCAGGAAAAACAGGATGTGACACGTCGTCTGGCAGCTGCAGGAGCCACGATTCAGGAGTTAAACACAGTGCGGCGATCGCTGTCCCTGCTGAAAGGTGGAGGTCTGGCCCACTGTGCCTATCCTGCTCAGGTAAAACTATATACCAGTTAAAGGGAAATTTCACCACATTAAAAAAAATTGGCATAATCAAATCAGTGAGATGTAAACAAAGCCATTCAGTGTTTGATGGGAAATGTTCCATTCTAGAAAAAAACTTGCCAGGACAAAATATTTACAGCAGTGGTGAGAGGAACCAGACGTCTGAAGCTCCCTCATTGAAAGTTATTGCACAAAATTTTTTCTTAGTCACAAGAGAGGAGTTTCAGGCTTGATCTTTCTCCAAAACTTCAGTTATTTCATAACTCTTTCTTTATTCGTTCTCTGAGGTGGTGGCCCTCATTCTGTCTGATGTCATTGGAGATCCACTAGACTTCATAGCCAGTGGTCCGACAGTGTGGAGCAAGGTGCAGCCAGAGGAAGTCTGGGGCATCTTGGAGCGCTATGACCTCTCTGCTTCTCTCCCCTCATCTGTGAAAGAGGTCCTAAATAAGACTAGGCCTCAGTGTGAAGGGGAGCCAAAGGAGCAGCCACAGGATCTCAGAGATCACGTTCTAAACACTGTGATTGGATCAAACGCGATTGCTCTAGAGTGCGCCGGCCGTAAGGCACGCGAGTTAGGCCTTCGTTCAGTGGTCTTGTCTCCAGGGGTGTGCGGTGACGTTCGCGCTGTGGCCCGCCTGTATGGGCTATTGTCTCAGTTTGCTTGCTCGCCAGGGAAGAAACCTCCTCCAGAGCTGGAAGCGCAGATCATACAGCTGGGGCCGAAGGTGGGGGTGCAAAGCTGGGACCTGTTTCGCACAATGAAACAGCTGGGAGATGGACGAGAGGAAGGCTGGTGTGCCACCTGCCTGCTGGCCGGAGGTGAGCCCACCGTGCAGCTGACAGGAAAGGGCCGAGGGGGGAGGAACCAAGAGCTGGCCCTACGGGTAGGGCTGGAACTCAGTGGGGGAGGAAAGAAGATCCCTGCTGTGTTCCTTAGTGGTGGAACCGACGGCCAAGATGGCCCTACCGAGGCAGCTGGAGCAGTTACTGATGGAGAAATGGAGGCAGAGGCCAAGAGTCAGGGACTGGACATTGATAGCTTTCTCAGCAATAATGATTCATACACATTTTTCTCACGCCTTTCTGAAGGGCAGAGGTTGCTTCTGCCAGGACTCACAGGTACCAACGTGATGGATGTTCACGTCATGTTGCTGCCACCTCCGTCACCATCAGAGTAGCAGGTCGAAAAGACATTTTCAGTTCTCATGATGAGAATCGATCTTATCTGTTGGGGAAACAACCTTTTCAACACTATAGGGAACAAGAAATCAAGTATTTCCTATTGAGATTGCTTCATTTAGCGGGTTATTTCTGACGCCATGATTCAGATATGAACTTCAGGTTTGTCTTAAATCGTGAGAAGTATGAAAGTGTGTTTTTTTTGTAACTACACATTAGGAAGATAAGATTTTCAGCATGAAATTTTATACTTAAAATACTCACACTCACAATACAAGCTCTCTGAAATGTAATATTAAAATCCAAGAATAATAACAGGACTCATTTGTATGAGTGACCTTTAATATTTTCACAACAAATTGCTGCCAATCAGAATGTAGAGTACTTGGTAAAGGTATGATCATGTCCACACAACCTGTTCTCCCACACCAGAAGAAAAAAAAGTCATGATGACTGTGAACTATGACTGATTAAGTTCTATGAACAAACCAACATAGTAAGTAACCTGCTGATTAATGGTCAGAGCCTATGGACATTTGAGCAGCTAATGTTAAACATGAGTTTGGGGATGGTTCCTCACTCCTGAAAACACAGCCATATATCGATATCCTCACAATTACTTTAACTGGTGGGGTGAGATCTGCCAGTGAACTTAAAGAAAAGATCAAATTAAGTACCTACATTGCATTATTTTGTTTATCTGGCACCTTTTAAGATTCAGGAGCTGAAGTCTGCAAATTAGGTATATCGCTGTTGTCGGAAGAATACCTTGTATCTCCATTTTTGACGTTTTTCAGTTTTTGACATAATTTGAAAATACCCATGGTCAGATATATTGTGTGTAAATTTCATGATGAATGGACCAACAGAAATGAGTCGAAATTACCTGGAAAAAAAGTCTGGTTCCATTGAGTTACATTAAAAGTAAAGTAGGTTTTTTGCTTCTCCTGTCATTTTGGAGATAACAACAGCGATATATGATTAGGTATATGACAACTTGGAGCCATGTTTACTTAGCTCATAACTAATTACTGTGGAAGTAGATGAGCGATTATGGATGGGTTCACTTATAAACTTCATAATAGTCTCGTGGCCAAACGTGATCTCATAATGAGAATGTCTAAGGACAACCATGAGAAATGTTGTTGGTGGGAACATAGACTTATTAGGGTGGGAACAAACTGAGTATGGAATTTTTTACTGGATTCGTGCCTTGTGAAAGCACAGCTCACAGTAGGGGGCGCTGGTGTGCTCAACAACATTGTTCAACAGACAAAAAGCTTGTCGTGAGGCAGGTGACTGATATCCCCTTTATGCAGACAATAGAGACCCGAGGCCCATTCACACCAGCAGGAAATTCTTGTAATTTCACCAAACTTACATGATTGTTTTTTTCCCCTCAGACATGATAACAGCAAAGTTGTGGCCAACTTAACGTGCATTTTCTTGTTTTCAGTTTGTTCATCCAGCTTCTTACTTCCTTCTTACAGGTCTCACTGCACAGGTTACTACTGTTGCCCTGGGAGATGGGCAGAGGGAGATGACTGACCCAATATTGACCCAATATTTTGTCACCTTGGTGTGAACAGGTGTGCCTTATATACCATCTTTCCAAAATTTTAACGCTGCCCCCAGACATGTATCATCGTCACAAAATCACATCTGTCCCTTCAAGACTAAATCCCAAGCTGCTTAATATGGGCTAAACACACACACACACACACATTTTCTAAGCTGCTTATCCTTCTGGGTCGCGGGGGGAGCTGAAGCCTATCCCAGCAATCACTGGGTGGAAGGCATGGGCTAAACAATTACATGTAAATATATTGGAAATGTGTTATTGGCTGCTCAGTGGCAAATAAGCTGTTTTCCAGTAGCTTTACTTGGCTTAGTCTAGTAGTGAGAGTCTGTGGTAGCGTGGTCTCCACTGGTATTCTCTATCAGTCTGTAATTGACAGGATGGAAGTGGTTATGTGAAGGTCAAGCCACATCAGGAGTCATACAAGTTACTAATTACAAAGAGTCAGTCTGAAAAGTACAAATTTCCAGGCAAGAAGAGCCAGCACTGCTAGTTGTGTCAAAAAGGAGGATTCTTGATTCCTTTTCACCAAACCACTCAATCTTTGTTTAGACATCACTTTTTGTCCTATATCACGTGCTCAGGAAGGTCCTTATGGCACACTTCTCTTCAGGAATGTGGTTACTATTATGTCTCCAAGTAGCATAAGGTCACCATGGTCCGCCCGGAGTCCACTCGCCTCAAAACTGGTCCAAGATATGAATCCAGCTAGTGTCCAGTCACTCGCGGTGGGTTTTCAGGGCGTCCCCCACTGCACTCTCCCTGAACCAAAAGTAGACACAAGTATTTAGGCCATACTGTACGTATGCAAGGTGTAGTTACCCAAATGTCATTAGAGGTAAGAATGTTCATTCTTTTTCAAAATGGACAAAATATGATGAGGAGAAGTGTCCAACAATTGGGGAGATACAGTTTTGTGCTTATGCAAAAATTAACTATGCATATAAGCCTCTAGAACATGAGTATTAAAGTTCAGTAAGGTCCAGTTAGAGAAAATGTCCTCAAGCAAAGGTCCGGAACATCATAACGTCTAATTTGCATCATGATTCAGTGCCATATACTGTTTACTGAAGTAGCTTAGTGGTTATATCAACATCTTATGCAGTTGACAACTGAATGTCAAATCAAATAAAGTGCAATATTCAGTCATATTTCCACAATATTTATTGTCAGTTTTCTCTTTTTAGAGCTCGACATGTGAAATAACTTCCCTCTGACTCACTTTCTTCTCTGACTGCTGTTTCTCGCCTCGTCCCTCCCCTGTGTGCGCGTCACTCACTCGAGTCTCGGTGCTCATCGTAATGCGCAGATCTGATTGGCTGAGTAGCGTCACATGTGATATTTACAACACATGTGATTGGTCTGTGAGTTTCCTGGGCCACTAAACCGGTACCGTAAAGGCTAGAAAAGTTACACCAATTAAAATAGGACCACCTCTTCGAAATTAAATAATTCTCCACAGTTATCGGTTATAGGTTCAGGTCCACATGGGACAGCGTTTGGGTCCGGACTCAGACTGCGGTCTGCCTATTAGTGACCTCTGCTCTAGAACGTGGGTGCTCAAACTTTTTGCCTTGGTGAGCCAAAGTGCAGTGTTTGCAGTGGGCAGAGGGCCAAAAAGACTAAACAGTATGCAAATAAAGAAGGTAAGCGGGTTTCAAATGAAGCTCAAATGCGTTCTATAACATATGTTGTGATTAAAATACTTAAAAATACTATTTAAAAAATAAGAATTTAATTTGTTATAGTATAAAACCATGTTTATTCTGTCTTTGAGTGAGGTAACTTTTTTTTTGTGCCAAATTGAACATTGTTATGGGGATCAGGCAAATGAAGTAGCTAGCTAATCAATGGGGAAACTGATTTTTTTGGACCAATACTGCAATTTAAACATGATCACTTTCTATAAATTCATGTCCTGACTTTTTTCACTCCAAGAAAACCAGCACATCCTTTTTTTTTTAGGTGTGACACTTGAACGCTCACAAGCTCTGGGTTATTAGGTTAAATTTCCTTAAACTTAAAACTTGATAAGACAGTGCTGAATATTGTGCAATATAATTAAAATTGCAGCTCTAGTGATTTGAAAAAGGCACACTTTACTTAATACTCATATTTCCTGCATGAGGAGAACCCCTCAAGCATGACACACTGAATTAAAGTAGCTGCTCTGCGATATTAACGTGTACATGTAGTATATTCACAGACATTTTTTCACATCCCCTTTTGCACAACACTAATGTCAACAAGCCAATATGGAAAAACACTGTTGATTTCACGTAAATTCAGTGGGTTTTTCACAGCTGTAAGCTCCTAAATCCAGAAATTACAAGATTTGTTCACATAGAGCATTGAAGAGCAAAGTACAAATACAGTTAATCTGAGAATACCTGTACCTGGAAGCAAACAGATGCCAGGACACCTACCATCCACTCAAGTGAGGTGCTGTGTCAGGTGTGCCACCATTCTGTCCTCCAGTTCCTGATGAAAGAAACAAGGACACAAAGTGTCATTGATGAGAAGCACCAGCATGTAGTTCCCCAAAAGTCCCGTCCCACCAGTCCACAACAGGGGTGGGCAATATGATGATATTTTATTGTTATTGTGATAAACTGTCACAATGTGCTTTTCTGAGTATATCGTGGTTATTTTCACTACATAAAGAACACTAAACTGCATGACTTATTACAAAGAGAGGATAATTAGTTCTTTTTAATTGGAGTTATTGCAGCGCAGCATGTAAAACACTGCTGAAATACTATATTCATACTTTTGATAGTATTTTGAAACAACCTGGTACAAACAAGGCTGTGATAATCTATGTTATGGAGAAAAGGTTCTTCAGAGTGATTTTCTGGATGTTGAGAGAAAATCAAGTCATCTAAGTGCAGCAAAAAAAGACAACCTCATTTTTGAAGTGAAACGGTTCTTCAGATGGATGAAGAATGTGCTGTATATGGTTCTACGTGGAACCTTTTTGAGAATCATTCTATACTGAGAGAAAGTATAGGTCTTTTCACGTTTGCGTTCTTCTATGCTCTAACCTATGTTGTCTTTTTGTTGTGTCAGCTGTATTGTCTTACAGTTGTGTGCCTTTTGGTGTTTTATCTGTATTGTTCCCCCTGAGGTAAGAGCAACCTCACCTTACCCCTGGGGTCTCCCCTGACCCCAGACCCCCTTCCTCTTCTTCCCCAACCCTTTGATTGTCACCTACTTCCCCTTCCTCTTTGCTTCCTCCCCCTACCCCCAGTATCTCTACTTAAACCATATCAGACCATGTGTTCGTTAGACTGGTGACCAGACTGGACTGGTGACAGACTGATGACCAAGCATGATTGTCTGCACACACATGAATAAGACTAGACTCCTGATACTGCTGATTGACTGTTGATCAACCACGCTGTACCCATAATTCAGTCAACACCGAAGCTCCAAAAAGGGTTCTTCTGTTGTTATGATGTCAACCTTCAGTTCAAGGGGAATTCCACCCATTTTTCAAAATTTCTAAATGATGTAGTCCTTGAGATGTAAACAAAGTCATTCAGCGTGGTTTGGTGTGAAATGGTTTATGGTAGAGACTTAGACTTCACAGTGGTGGTGACAGGAACCAGGGGTCACAACACACATGTAGACATTTACCAAAACCACCGGTGAACCCACACGAGTCTACTGAGCCTTTAGAGGTGGACGTCTGGTTCCTATCACCACCACTGTGAACAATTCTGTCTCTGTAAGTTTCTCCAGAACGAAGCATTTCACACCAAACCACTCTGAATGACTTTGTTTACATCTTAACTACTAAATTAAGCCACGTTGTTGAAAAATGTGGGGCGTTTTCTTTTAACGGACGGTTTGCTGGTAATGTTAGTTAGTTAGCTTAGCCAGCTCGCTGCGCAGCCTCTCACCCTGCCTGTAGTACATGTCGTTGACCGTGTTCCCGTAGACTTTCCAAGCGAAATGTATCGCGATCAGACTGAGGACGAGCCAGCTGAACAGGATTTTGAACACGGCCACCCGCATGTCGTTGGCCAGCCAGTCGTCCACAAACTCGGACAGAAACGCCACCAGACTGTCAACCATCCGAGAGAGGAGCTGGAAATCCCACTGTTCCTCCATTAGAGCCGGGTGTTCCCGCTACTCCCTCTCCGACATGACCTGGGCAGACTTCGGTGAGGACGAGCAGAGCAGCGCTCACCAAACCAGCGAGTGTTTAACTAAAAGTCCAGTTATTCAGCTGCAGCACTCCGACGGACTTTCTTCTGGCCAGTTATGTAGCGAACGTAAACAAAGTCATTCCCTTCTTCGAGGAAATATGAACTAGAGCGATGCCGGCGCTGTGCTGCCCTCTACCCGTGCCGCCTGTCTGCAACAGTATCTGGGTCTGTTCTGGAAGGGGAACGCCACCGATTTTTCCAAATTTCTGTATCACTCAATCGTTTTGGTGTAAACCAAGTCATTCAGAGTGGTTAACCCTCCTAGTCCGATTATCTTTGGGGTCAGTTCGACCCCGTTCAATGTTTAACGTGATTGTTTAAATATTTAGTGTCTTTTTCTTATTTAATATGAACAACTGGGTCAACGTAAAATTAACATGAGGATATGTTTTCAGTGTTCTGTACACATTTTGTACGCATATGTGTTCCTGGCTGTTTTAGATGTGTAAAACAAGAAATATCAACATTTTATTTATTCATTTATTTTTATTTCTATTCTTTTTTTATGATATTGAGGTCACTGTAATGCTATTTTATAGTCTTCAAAAAAACTTCCCTCTGCTTTAGGGCCTTAACCTAACACAACCACGCCTGTAGTAGTGCAAGAACCACTGATAGTTCACAGGACACGAGGGAGGGGAAAACAGAATTCCCACCAGAACTTTGATATTTCCCGGAGGCTTGCTGGGATCAAATTGACCCCAAGGATAAAAGACACTAGTAAATTTAAAAATAACAGGAGAGAAAAAAGGGGCCATTTCATGCCTAAATGGTTCTTTGCGTGGTGAAGTGGTTCTTCAGATGGATGGAGAATGTGTTGTATATTGCTCTTTATACATGAGTTAGTTCCGGCCACGCAAGCTGATTGGTTGAGAAGCGTTCACATCACGGGTTTTTCACAGACACTGTATCACTCCACTGAGATGCTGTTGCTAAGCAACGACTTTGACAGCTGTAGGAGACGCTCAAGCCATGTTTTCACTTCCTACTTTGCCACAAACAGAAAATGGACAGCCGATTTGGTCAGACTCTGAAGATGAGACTACACTAAATTCCCAAACTGTCATCACCACCGAGTAGCTTTTCAGTCGGCAGCTGAGACAGAAGAACAGCTAAACAACCTGGAATCAGCCAGAAATGAACCCAATACCAATCGCCAAACCAAATGGGCTGTAAGATGCTTTACAGACTGGCTGGAACAAAACAACATTAATACTGATCTGGCAAAAAGTGACAAAACTGAGCTGAACTTAATATTGGGTCAGTTTTATGGCTCAGTCCGTACTTCAGAAGGCGAGGCTTACAGGAGACTGTGCAGCGAGTGAGCAAGCTGCTTGTTAAGGAACTATAATTTGTGGAAGGAACTGCGAACATTAAAACATATTAAACGCCGCGTTCACGGCCCAGTTTATTAATTTATTACTTTATTTATTTAACTGTTGTATGAAAGCAATAGAAACACTCGAGATTGTGTGTTATCGCGAATAACACCATGGCTGTGATGATCTACGGCGACCAAATCACAGCCGTGATGTTATTTCGCGAAAACACACTCCCTCTCGTGTTCTATTGCTTAAATATAGAAGCACAAAAAAGGGTTCTTCTCTGGTTATGTTGTCAAGCTTCATTTGAAGGGGAATTCCACCAATTTTTCAAAAATTCTAAATAATTTAGTCCTTGAGATGTCATTCAGAGTGGTCCGGGGTGAAATGGTTCATTGTAGAGACTCCCATATCTTAACAGTGGTGGTGATAGGAACCAGGAGTTGCGGTATCTACAACACATAGATATTTAATTTATTACTATTAATAAACAGCTAATCTACTACATGTCATCTGAGATGTATTTGTCTTTATTTTAAATCTGATAAACTGAGTTTCCTTGGGGACTATTCTGTCTGATACAGCCTTGCATGTACCTTTAGGCTGAAACTTTATCGCTAAAACTATAATTAAAGAATGTCTTCAAGCAGTGCATTCATAAGCATTTCATCAATTCACGTAATATCTTTCTGCCTTTTAGAGTCAGATGTCTGGTTCCTATTACCACCACTGTGAACAATCCTGACTCTGCAAGTTTCTCTTCGCATTAAACCACACTGAACAACTTTGTTTACGTCTTAACACAGAGCGTTTTGCACAAGTGTTGGAAAATGGGTGGAATTCCCCTTTAATTATTAATAGTGTTGTTTGCTTTTTTTAGCTAAAGGTTCTCATAAAGGTGAGCTAAGAAGTGCAAGCTGAGTAATAAGAAAAGAAATCGAGCCGCGTTCGACATCTACGCCCGATTAGTTTGCCCTATGGTGCATAAACTGAATGAAAATGTGAGATGCTGTAGTGCTTAAGGCTGCGTGGGAAGATGCCCTGCTGATCAGAAGGATCTTGAGATTGAACGAAATTAAGTTCACCGAAATGCGATGTTAGTTCATGCATTTTTCACGGTATGTATAATCTCCGAGTCTGCTTAGTCAAATCTCACCCACAGCTGTATTGTCAGAATATTTAGGGCTATAACAGAACGTACAAAGTTACTCAAGATAAGATCTGTTACCGTGAGGTAAAAACTTGCAGAGTTTTGCAATTGAAAGTAAAGGAAATCTGGTGCGAAATACTCCGCCAGACGGAGTTTCCCCCCCACAGCTCAGCCTACCCACTCTCTTCTATCGCTATTTTTGTCGAAATTTCCTAAACACTAGGGGCAACTAACCTTAACCTCCTTTTTGTAGGAGCTTATCAATACATAACTATTTTCCTCCTTCAAACCTAAACATTGTTTTCCATGTTTTTCAGTGACTCCGATCTTTGTCATTCTCTCTGAAAAGCCTATACTGAACTGCAAAAAGTAATCAATGACCAGTCACTGTGGGCAGATTTCATTAAATTGAGGTGTACATGACTTTTAGAAACAGATGCTGGTAAACTAAAGCTCTGAATGCTGCTGAAGCGCTTTCCGTAGCCTCTAACCAGTGCGTCGTCTCTACCAGAGGAAGCATGCCCTGCAAAAGTGCAGAGTGCAGCTGTTATGACATTATTCTGTTTTGAGTTATCTTCTCATGTAAAGAGGCGTTTTTTTCCCCTGAGAACTCTATACGTGACTCATTACAACGAACTGTGGAACTTTTCTTTTATTGGGGGCAATATTTGCTAAAAGTTGATTAAAGTACATCTTAGGCCATACAAAAAACATATTATGGGCAGGTTATGACGCTTAAAGGGCCCATATAATAGAAAACGGAGACTGAATTTGTCTCACTGTTTTAAATTAAAGTCCGATGTCGTATGTAAACACTATTAAAGTTTCAAAACAGGCGGTTCTCTTCAAGTCATAGTGGTCTTTGTCATCATTAGTATGAAATGCTTTCTTCAGGGCCCGTGGTGTAACACACAACAGCAGCACATTAAAAGCACTACACAGAGTGCAGATACACAACAGTGAGTGTTTTTACCTGCACTTAATAATCCAATAACTGCAGAAAATCAGATTTTGTCTGTAATCTGATATTTGCAGCCGGCCAATAAACTCACAGAAGACGTGACGTAAACGTAATGTAAAACTCAAACTTCATGCTGCAGCTTTTTTAAAAAAACACTGCGTCTTCCTGAAAATATGAACTTACATCATCTAGAAGATGAAGAATATTCAAATCCTTAATTTCGTCAAGAATGTATTTGGTTTCAGCGTCGCTCCAAAAGTGTTTTGCTGCGTCTTACGGCAACACTGCTTGTTTATTTCCGGTATAGCAGTCTGTTTCACACATGTGCAGACTGGAAAATCCAAAAGAAATCAGAGTAAGAGTTTACATGCACTGAGAAATCTGATTACTGAGCCAAAATCTAGCTCTCTTAATCGGATTTCTAGACCTTACTCCAATCTAAGAAATCAGAGGATGCTGTTTACATAACTATTTGAATAATCAGATAACTGCAGAAATCTGATTATGATTGGATTATTGGGCGCATGGAAACACGCTCACTGTGAAACGAGCACTGAACATACAATAAATATAGCAGACAATAAACACTAGATAGGACAAAAAAAGACACTGTCTATATGAATTGGCATCATACGTATGTATATGCAAACATACATATCACCGCAGTGGGGACGAAACCTTGTATCTCCGTTTTTGTCGTTTTTTAGTTTTGACATCATTTAAAAACACCTGTTGTTCTTTATATTGTGTGTAAATTTCATGATGAATGGACCAAAAGAAATGGCCAAATTTGACTTTGAAAGAAGTCTGGTTACACATTAAAAGTAAAGTACGTTTTTTCCTTCTCCTGTAAAGTCACCATTTTAGAGATACAAGGTTTTGTTCCGACAGCAGTGATATATACGCCCAGACTGGCATCAAGCAAGTCAAGTCAAAGTTTATTAACATAGTGCTTTCTACAACAGACATTGTCACAAAGCAGCTTTGCAGAAAAATCCAGGTCGGAGCCCCCATGAGCGTCGCCAATGGCGACAGTGGCAAGGAAAAAGTCTCTAAAAGCAAGAAGAAGAAACCTTGGGAGGAACCAAAAGGGGAACCCATAGGAGACAATAATGGCAGAGAATAAGCTTTGATCATTAGTAAAAGTGTAAGATATGGAAAATGGGGAAAAGCAGGAAAAGCAATGGCTATGATTAAAAAAAGCAGCATGTTAGTGATGAAGGAACCAGTGCAAACATTGTCAACTGTAAACTGTACAGAAAGATTGAGGTCTAATAGCAGATTCAGATAGATTTAAAGAGTGTAAAGTGCAGGTGTGTGTAGGTGTGTGATCAGTCTATGGTAGATGTTGGAAAGGGTCCAGATTAGTCCAGGTGGGAGACATCAGTGCGCTCAGTAATCTAAACGCCTTTCGGATGCAGCGTTTGTGGTAGGAGTTGTTGATACATTCGAGACAGTGAGACAGCTGGTCAGGACGCTCTGTAATAAGGATGGAAGTGGGTGGGTTTGCTCTTTTCACCTTTGGCATGAAGTGAAGTCGCTGCTGGGCTTTCTTGGCTAGGCAGGTGGTGCTGAGGGTCCAGGCGAGGTCATCGGTGATGTGTACCCTGACCTTTTGACTCTGTCCACAGTTGAACCATTGATGTGTAGTGGAGAATGATCATCGCAAATCCTCCTGAAGTCAACATTCATCTCTTTTTTTTTATGAACATTAAGAGATAGAGTGTTGTCTCTGCAAGCTGCTCCACCTCCTCTCTGTTTGCTGAGTTGTCATTGTTGTTGATAAGACACACCACTGTAGTATCATCAGCACAATTTGAGCTGCGCTTCGCATCACTGACATGAGTCAGAAGTGTGAACATCAGGGGAGGTGGGGAGTGCCTGTGTTCAGTGTGGTTGAGGTGGTCTTGCCGATCCTGACAGACTGAAGTCTCCCAAGGCAAGGCAAGTTTATTTATATAGCACCTTTCACACACTGCGGTCATTCAGAGTGCTTTGCAAATGATGACATACAAAAATAATTCAAATGATTATTTAAAGAGTAACCTAAAGTAATGGAGAATAGAAATTCAACACTTGATTAAAACAAGAGATTTTAAAGGAAAAGAATCATTAAAAGTAAAAATCAAATAAAAAAATGAAGCATATTAGGATAAAAGAGTGGCATTACAGGAGAGAAGGGCAGTAGAGCTAACAGTGTTTAAACTGAGCTGAAAGCTGCTCATATAGTAACAATTTCAGCCCAGATTTAAAGTGTCCAGTGTCGGGGCTCTTCTAACGCTCTCTGTTCACTGGTTCCACTTAAGAGCAGCATTGAACGCTGCTTCTCCATGTTTAGTCTTTACCTTCAGCAGGACTAACTGACTAGTTCCTAACAGTGGTGGACAGTAATGAAGTAAATGTAATTCGTTACAGTACTTAAGTAGTTTTTTGTGTATCTTTACTGAAGAATTCCCATTTCGGTGACTTTTTTACTTTCACTCCACCACATTTCAAACTCAAATATCTTACTTTTGACTCCACTACATTATGAGAAATCTGTCGTTCCTTTTGGTTTATGTGTGTATAAAAACGTAACATATCAAAACGAAAGAAGCGTAAAGCAAGAACACCAATCAGGGCACAGCGCGCACTTAGTTTTGAGCTTGTTTTGACCTGTTGGACATACCGACCCAGTGCAAGCATACAGTTCAACGTCAGCGCAACAAATTTTGGGAGAGCCTATTCAACATAAGTGATGAACTAACCTAACTTTGTGTAAACAGACCACAGTATAGAAATATGTACACATATGCAGTTGTGACTGTCATGTTTCTTTTTTCTGAATTTATACAAACACTATTTCATTTTATATTAAACTGGTTTTGGCTAGTTTATGTTTATAAACAGAGACCTACAGATGCAGTTTAGTAAAGGAAAACTCATTTGTGAATCTCTGTTTAAAAGCAAGTTTTTATTAAACTGAAACTTGTAACTAAGTTGCAAATAAATCTTAAACCGAAACTTTGCTTGTTTGTAAAAAGTGATTTCAGAGCCACTCAGTTCTACCTAATGGAAACTGTTTGCCTTCAGTGTTTTGTGTTTATGATAATCTTAAAAGACATCAGCGTCAGACTAATTAATGACATTCTATTAAAAGACTGGTTTACCAAGAGTGACACTGGAGTATTTTCACCTAAATGAGTTAATGAAGCAAGAGTTTTGTTACAAAAATAGTAATAGGACATTAGAATCGTAATTAATCTTTTAGTACTTTTACTTTCAATACTTAAGTATATTTGAAGGCAAATACTTTTGTACTTTTACTCAAGTGTCTCTGTTGTCTAGGAAGTGTCTGTGGATTCTCTGTGCATAGCTGCGCTTTGCCTCTCTGCGGACTGATGCATTTCTGTGGGCTGATGAAAATGGAACTACAATCACCAAAGGGATTTTTGGAGAAAATGGAGCATCATTTGATGAAAAGAACACCTTGCCAACTGTTGGCATGGGAGAGGATCTATTATGCTTTGAGGTTGTGTGGCAGCCAGTAACCCAGGAACCATTGCACAAGCAGATGGAAGAATGGATTCCTAAATATCAGCACATTAAAAAAAACATGATAATGACCATGATATGACAACAACCCCACCATGACAACAATCATGAGTGTACTGAAGCTAATCTTTCCATAACAAGCTTGCGTTAACAAGCCAGCTAATAGTAACAACTGTTAAAACGGATGCTTGCTTCATTGTTAATTCTGGTTTATTGACAGCCCCTAATTTAACACAGAGGTCAGATGAATTTGGAATCCGAGAGATGAAAACTAAGATAGAAGAGGAAACAGAGATGCGGTCTGTGATTAAGACTATAGCTGTAATGGCTATATTTATTTTCAGAGGCTTAGCAAACACACAACAGATAAAACACTCAAATGTATTTAGTAAAGAACCCTAAATAGATAAATAACAAACACACACACACACACACACACACACACACATATATATATATATATATATATATATATATATATATATGTCAATGCATAAAACAATGACATGACAGCTTGAGAAAACATACAAAAGATGTTAAAAATATGTAAATTACACTTTATGACTATGATGTATGAGCTGTTATAGCCATTAAAACAGCACCATATAACATTTGGGGATTTGGAGACCTCTTTGGTGAAAATGTGTAATTAAATGCAAGGTGCAGAGGCACATTTTGCATCGTCAGTTATGCTTCGCACCTCCACAACTGGATGAATCTGGTGATTGCGAGCGCATTGAGAGAGAATTCAAAGAGAACTCAGTCAAAACTTGGTGAAGGGTGCGTCTTCTGAGGATGTGAGTGAATTATCTACTACTGTCATCATAACTTCATCAGTTTAGTGCTGGTTTTGCATTTGAGACCTAAACATCAAGTCAGAGCTTCTTTTTGAGCCTGTGCAGGTGACATTAATATGTAAAGATGTACGACGTGGTCCGGAAAACTCCTGCAAAATCCATCCCGATTCCTCTGACTTTTAAATGATTATTTCAGGCTTTACAAAGAAAAACTGAAGTTAAAGATTCAGAGGAAAATGTGAGAGTCCTCATCAGACTGTCCCCATCAGATAAACAGCACTTAATGCTTTCATCTTTGAGAGGGAGGAGAAAATTAAGCTGCTTCAGATCTGAAATCATCCACAGAATGGAAGCTGTACTAGTGGTACAAAGTGGACATATTAATAGAGGAAAATTGTATTTAATTGTTGAAAGTGGACAGTTGTTGATTGGTTCCATGTAATTGTTGCTTGCACTTAATGGCAATTTTGACTGGAAATAAAAAATAAATAAAGTTTTTTTTAGAAGTAGTGTCCTTTTATTAAAAATACACTACACAGTTATAATACATACTATAGCCTAGCAGTGATTTTAATAGATTGAAGGTTGTACTGCATCACCCATATATATGGATATAGTATCTTATAGGATCCAAATGAGCACTCAATAATTGAACACCTGGTTGAAAATCATATATTAACCATTCCACCCTTCTTTTTCGGTTATTTTGTTTTCTTTTTTTATTTTGTACTGTCTTTTACAGTGAAAAGCCAAATTAGCCTGGTTTACTTTTTAGTGACCCCTTTATTTTAAATGCAGAACATCAAACCATGCCATGCTATGCTTAGATGATGTTTTACAAAAAATGTCACGTCTACTGTTTTTCACTGCAAGGGCTCGATTGTAAAATGCGGTTCTATACATATTTCACTTGTTGTGCTGCTGTTTTGCTCTCTGGTGTCAACCACAGGAAGATGTGATCCCCTTTTGTTGATTTTTGTTCCTCACTTATGTCTCTAAACCTGCTTACTGTCAAAAGTGCTCTACAAATAAATTTGAGTTTAACTGAATTCCATACATTTTGTTATAAGACCCTTCAAACTCTCAGAACTACAAAAGCTGCATATTAGTTGGATGTTATTTTCTGTATAATTCAGGACTAACGTACTGAGGTCTAAAGTCAGTATAGATAAGGTACTTCAATGTGTGACTTAATTCATTTGAAAGCCCTTTTAAAAGTCAACTGTGGGCTCTGCTTATGAATAGAAAAAAAGAAGATTAATTGTCTCACTTACGTGGAGGGGGGGCAGGGGAAAAACCAATAAGAACCTACACGGGAAGGGAAGTGATCATTAACATTTGCATCCTCGCCTGCACGCGCACCTTCTGAAGCGGCAGCGCATGCTCTGCTTCCCCAGCGCTACCATGATCTGCCAGACGTCTCTGCTCCTCTTCAGCTTCATGTGGGTTTTTGTGCTTCAAGACGTTACTGTTGCAATTACGTGTAGAGCAGGTGAGTATAAAATGACCCATTTTGATGTCTTTTAGTTCACCTTTACTGCTCTGGGTTTGGTCTGCTCGTCCTTAGTGAAGTGGCTCTCTTGCAGGTCAGAAGGTCAGCATAGACAGGACGCAGTGTATTAATTGCCCTGAGGGGCAATACCGTTCTAAACCTGGAGACTCTGTGGAGTGTCTGAACTGCAGGCCTTGCGGTAGGTTTATCAGGCTTTTCTATTCAAGCTAACAAATATGCTACAGTTCTCACTGCCTGCATGTCACCATGCTGTGCCTCACTACCTGTGTGGTGCTTGAGGTGGTGTGGGCTGATGTTAAACAGTAGAAATCATCTACATGTCAAATTAGGGGGGAAAGTAGTATTGCACAGACTAATGAACAGCTGCTCTGTGCATTCCTCCAATTAAAAAACAGGTTTTTTTTTTAACATTTATTAATTTATTAACAGGTACCACTACATTTCTACCATATAAGCTAAGCTTTCTTTCAGTGTTGCCACCTTATCGGTGTAAATAATCATCCATTACCATTGTATCATCAGTATCTTGCTGTCTTATGCAATGAAAATGACTGTTTCTGATTGATAAAGTACTGATTCATCTACTAATGCTTAATGGGACTCTTTGAAGCTTAATATTCTCCTGGATTTTGTCACTCTGTGACTAAAAAGGTCATGCTACAGCAGTGAATACGAGGGGAATTTCCACCAATTTCTCAACCTGTATTCATAATTAATTGGTAGAGATGTAAACAAGGTCATTCAGAGTGGTTTAATGCGAAGTTCTAGACAAGCGTACAGACTGTTCACAGTGGTGGTGATAGGAACCAGACATCTGGAGCCTCTAAATCTCGCTCACAGCAATCTACTACATGAAATGGTCAGGAATACACTGCCAGATGCCCAAAACATTGTTTTACAATAGTTTTGGCCTTTAAACCATTCATGATGGAGAGATACAAACAAGGCATTGTAACTTTTTTCCCAATTTTCCACTATTTTACCATCATCAGCATTACATATAAAAGCTCAGAAGGTGGCCACAGTAAATAGAACGGTAGTATTTGTGTTGTAGACATCATGACTCCTGGTGACATCTGGTTCCTATCACCGCCACTGCAAAGAAATCAGAGTCAGTTTCTCCACAATGAATGATTTCCCATCAAACCACCCTGAATGACTTTGTATTTCAACCATAAAACTATGTAGAAATTTTGACAAATTGTTCAAATTCATCTTTAAACAAGCACACAGCTCTTTCTCCATCACTTTCTCTTGCTATGCTAATGCTTTGTCTGCTTTTGCGCTCTTCTTTTAGGAAAGTACAGTATGCAAATTGCTGTCTGCACACCAATCAGCAATGCTCAGTGTAAGTGCTCTGAGGGCTTTACCAATATGGATAAACATCATGAAGTGTGCCGGTGCCAACCAGGATCAGGATTAAAGAACACAGGTAATAACAAATATAATAAATATACCCAATCTAGTATTTTTCCAGTCAGTGGGAATCAAATGTAGCAAAATCAATGGGCCTCATTCATCAGTTTCATTCTAAGTTTTAAGTTTTTTGTTCTTGAGAAAGGTTCTAAGAAAGAGTCTACGTCAGATTCATGACGTGTTCTTAAACCGCAGAACTGTTCTCACCTTTGTGCTCCTGAGTGTGTGTGGGTTCTGTTCTTACCTAAGAACAAACCTGAAATACGACAAAAAACATTGGTGAATATCAAAATCATTGTGCAAACTACAGAATTGGGTTTTAAGAAGGAATTTCTTCTGATGAACAGTTGGTGAATGAGGCCCGATGTTGTTTTAATGAAATGTGTTTGTTTGTTTAAGGAAATGGGAAAGAAATTTGCAAGCCATGCCCACCTGGAACATTTACCAACAAGTATAACAGCTGGTGTGAACCGTGGAAAAAGTATGTTGTCTTGTTTTTTTAAAATATCTCGGTTCTGTGGCCAAGCTCTACTTCCTTTATGTGTTAATCAGCCAGAAGAACTGCAAAACGTATTTCCTTTAATGGGGAGAGACGTTCAGATTTTAGCATACTTTTAAAATGCAATGAAAAAAACTGTGAGTACTGTCAAAAATTGTACTGTACATTTTTGCTCTCCAAAAAAAAAGTAATGTAAATGTACTCTGAAAGGTATGCCAATGGTCTTAATGTGCAGTGGTGACTTTTAAACAGGTTTTAAAGGTAAACTACATGCACTTTCTCAATAGAGAAAGTTTTTGTGCCTTTTCATAACCTAATGTTTTAAAAAATAAAACAAAAAGCCTGGAGTTAAACAAGGTGTACGGAGTAAAATTAAAGCTGCACTATGTACGTTTTGGGGATTTGGAGACCTCTCTGTTGGAAATGTGTAATTGTATCCAACATGTGGAAGAACATTCTGTAATATGGGTTGCGTATTGGACCCCTTGCCCAAGCGGATGAATCTGATTACTGCAAGTGCATTAAAAGAGAATTCAAAGAGAACGCTTTCTTTTTTTCTCTTATCTATTATTGTCATCATACGTTCATCAGTATAATGTCGATTTTGCATTTGAGACCTAAACATTGAGCCAGACCTTCTTTTTTAACCTGTGCATGTGACGTTAATACTCAAGGATTCATGACATGGTCCAAAGAACTTTTCATTTTAGAGTGTTTCTTTTTTCTCCCGACTTAGTAATTCTCCTTCTTTCTATTTTAACAAGAACATCTTACATAGTGCAGCTTTTAAACAAGTAGGATCTAGAACAATTATGTTCTCTAACAGCAGATGCTGAAGATGTTCCCTCGAGAATACCACCCTAGTGACATGAGGTTCCCAGCCCTAGTGACCATGTGTAAAATTTCTGAGAATACACTTCTGTGGTTTCCTTCTTTTCAGGTGTGATCAGGGTGGGGTGGCGACTGCAGGAACTAACATATCTGATGTTGTCTGCAAAAATCAAGCAACACCTGATGAGACAAGAGCAACAACTCCCCCCTCCTCCACTGTCCTAGTGCCCCAGACATCTGCCAACACTTCTACCACGGCTTCAACCACAACACAAACTAGCAAGAGCATCATAACCCCAAGCTCTGGGCCCCTCAACGGCAGGCAGCATGGCCTGTGTAATCTCCCTTTAACTGCTTCTATTGCTATGTTGAAAAAAAGTTTCAGCACCCCTGATCAAATTACATGTTTTGTTGATCTTCTAAATGAAAATAAGTTAAAAAAAAAATTCTTTCTGAATATTTTTATTTATTTATTTGCTTGTTTGTTTGTTTGCTGAGTTTAACTCAGAATGGTATGCTCTATTTTTCTTCCTATCATGTTAAATTCAGCAAATAAACAGTAACTGTGTATTATGTCATTTGATCAGTGGCGGCCAAACTTTTCATTTCCATATTATAGCAACCCACATATTATCTGTAATTATGTTGATGGATAGAATTATGTTCGTTTATTCATACGGAAATTACATACACATTTGAATCAGGCAGATTTACTCTATTTAAGTCACTGCATTTAAAGGGGAATTCCACCATTTTTTCAAAATTCCTGTGGAAATTAGTAGTTGAGAGAAAGTCATTCAGAGTGGTTTGATGTGAAATGGTTCATTACAGAGGAACTTACAGACGTTTCAGATGTCTGATTCCTATAACCACCACTATGAATAGCTCCGTAATCTTCTTTAGAATGGTGCAAACCACTCTGAATAACTTTGTTTACATCTTTACCATTCGATTAATCAGATTTTTTGAAAACATGGTGGAATTCCCCTTCAGTGTTTCACAGTGTAATTTCAAAATTCATGTTCATTCATGTTCTGATTCATGCTGTCGTTTACAGGGGTGGCCGTATCACTGGGCAGCATTCTGGCTTTCATCCTGATACAGTTCGTGATCATCAAGATGAAAATGACCACCTGCTTTCACAAAAATAAGAAAGAGATAGTTCGACAAGGTACGACGACCTCTTGATGTTGATTTTTGGGGTTTTATAGGTGTGTACATATGTATATATATATATATATATAGTATAGGAGAACAAAACAAAAAACACACTTTACAATGGAACCAGACTTTTTTCAAGTCATTTTGGGCTGTTTCTTTTGGTCCATTCATCACAGAATTAACACACTTTGTAAAGGGCAACAGGAACTTTTTAGGAATTTATGCTTAAAACCAAAAACAAAACTGCAGATATGAACTTGCAAAGGACAGTAGACATTTTCAAGTTATGTATATATATGTATGTATGTCTGTATATATATATATATATATATATATATATATAGAGAGAGAGAGAGAGAGAGAGAGAGAGATAGAAAGATAGATATATACATGTCTGTCTTCATTCTCTCTCCCCTGTGCTTTTCCAGACAGTGCATGTACGAAGCCGGTGGAGGAATCTGGAGAGAAGTTCCTTTCCGTCTAATCCCCAAATCATCCTCATATTCACGCTGAAAACATGCGCCAGGCAGTCATTGATGTTCTTTTGATTAAAATCAGCAGTAGGTATCATATACCAGTGTATATGCAGTGTTTTAACTGTATACTTTAAATTGCTTTACCATCTTATGTCATGAAAGAAGGCTGCTGTGCGCACTGTTCCATTACTTGCGGAAACCGAAACCAGTGACATAATCATCAGATATCAGACGCCCCGTCAGCTTAGTTGTCCCAGAACTTTTTTTTGTTGTTGTTGTTGTTGTTTTCTTTCTTAGTTCTAAATCACTGTTCCATCCTACTGTTTCCATTGCAAACTGTTCTGAGGTTAAAGGTGGGCAATATGACAATATTTATTTATTGTTTTTGCGATAAATTACGTCGATTTTGTCAGCATAGCGTGGATATCGTCATTACTCAAGAGGAATTTCACCGATTTCTCAAAACGTCCTCATAATTAAATGGTTAAGAACTAAATGGAGTCATTCAGAGTGTTTTGGTGTGAAATGCTTAGTTCTTACAGAGTCAGAATAGTTCGCAGTGGTGGTGATAGGAACCAGACGTCTGAAGTGTTTAAATGCCTCTAAAAGCTCCCTCACAGAGAGTTATTGTATGAATGCGCTGCTTTGTTTTATGACTGGTTTTAAGGTTTTTTTTTAGACGTTTTTAAATCTTTTTTAAAAGGTGGAAAACTTTTTTGGGGGGATTTTCCACTATTTTACCATTATCAACTATGCATATAAATGGTTAAGTGGTCATTTTGGATAGTAAATAAAATGGCTGTATTTGCACAACCCCTGGTTCCTATTAGCACTGCTGTCCCTGAACCATTGAAATCTCTGAACCATTGAAATCTCTGAACCATTGAAAAATCCCTGAACCATTTCACATCAAACCACTCTGAATGGCTTTGTTTACATCTCAACCACTGAATCATGCAGACCTTATTTTAACAAAAGCTGCTGGAATTTCCCTCGAAAGAACAATTTAATGTTTCATTTCAAAGCGCTTCACTTAGTGCTGTGCAGTATATGAAACACTGAATACAAACCACTATGATCGTTTTTGATCATGTAATTTAAATGTGTTACATTTTTGTTCCAACTTATCAAAGCTCAGAAAAACTAAACATCCTGAAGCATGTCGCGTATCGTGAAACTGTCTTGTCGTGATGTTCTGTTTCTGCCATATGGTTCACCCCTTGCCGAGGGATGGACAGACATGAGCGGACGTTGTCGTTTTTGTATGATGTAGTTATAGTGATTGTGTCTTACAGGCACTGAAGTACCATCAAGAAATGATGGCAGGATATCAGACTGTATATTTTGTATCTTTTATTGTCTCCTTTGTTTTTATTAAGTTTTTTTGTTATGCTTTTATTCTACTTTAATGTCACTATAAATGCCTAAGATGTGTAGCCTTCATTACGACTGCAAATGCATGGAGAAGCACCTTTGAGACCACAGAAGAGGGATGTCAGCGCGGTGAAATGACATTTTGCGGGTGTTTCCGAGGTGCCCTACTGTTCTTTATTGTTCTTCATACACGAAACCAGCCAGTGACTCATGAGCTCCTGAGATAACCAAAACCAAACCTGGATAATGTGAGATTGTTCTCATAGTGTGGGCCCAGCACAACATCTGAGAAGATTTTTCCGTGTTTTTTTTTTATCTTTTATCTTTTATTTCTTTAAACTGACAGTTAGAATGAAAGGCTTTCATTGAAGAACTTTAGCTGAAGAATAAAAAAACTGGGAAGGCCTTTTATTGTTTGTATTTCTTATCACCACTCAGCCAAGCGCTGACTCTACGCCTCTACAGCAAAATGACTTCTGGGGAACAGTGGGTGGCGCAGTGCTCCATAACTACAGGTATTGCCCCCTCCTACAGGGAAATTTTTTTTTTCCCTGAGAGTACGTTCACTTCCTCCCTCTCTCAGAAAGGTAGACGAGTGTGGTCGAAAGAAGGCGATAATGTTTTCAGTGCAGTTTTCCTCCCATGCTTGTTCACGTAATGAAGAATGGCACGTTCTCATGACAAAACGTGAATGAATGTTGGCTTCTTTTACAAGTTTTGAAGACGAGAATACGAAGGAATAGTGAAGAAAATAGTTTTGAAATGCTTGTTTATGACAAGAATGACGTGGATACTGTTAGTGACAATGTCCTGTTTCTTTCTTTAATGTTGTTCATTGCTGAAATATGAAAGCATTCTGAATATTATAAATAAAACTTTGACCTATTTATGGTCAGTCCACATTTTAAAACAACATCTTTTGGTGTCGGAGAAGGCTTTGCTGTCCAGGTCAATTTTAGCCCCCTAACATGCAAACAATCTACTCTTAAAGGTACATTAATGTAGTTAAAGTCCAATTGTGTACCTTAAATGAGTTTTAAAGGGCAGCTACATTCACTTTCCCAGAGGAAAGAGGCATAATTGTACCTTTTCATAACTTTTTTAAGCTACTGAAGACGCATCACCCCAGTGCCAGCATTTGCACCCTGAAATGAGCAGTTTTAAAAGGTTAAGAACATCATAGATCTAGATTTCCTTGACAGCTATAAATAAATCAGGGGGCTTCCGTTGAAACAGGATGTTGAAGTCATTCATATTAGTTTTATAAATGAGTAATTAGCGCTAACACACTGATGGTCCCTTAAATCACTTAGTATTACATACTAAGGCTTATTATTCAGTAACTACAGGGAGTTCTGTTAATAACATACAAATAAACAATCAAATGAAAGAAATGTAAAAATGAATGTTGGTAGACTTGAGTGGATGAACACTCCACAGACATTAATATAATTAGTCATTAAATGTCTGTGAAAAAAGGCCAAGGGCTCATTTATACAGCTTACTCAAAGGGGAATTCCACAGAGTTTTCAAAATTTCTGCACGATGCAGTTTTTGAGATTCAGAACGGTTTGATGTGAAATGATTCAACGTAGAGAAACTTACCGACTCATTTCTTTTACCGACTCAGAAAGGAACCCATAATGCAAATACAGCCATTTTTTCACTATCCAAAACCTCCATTGAACCTACACATGTCTTCAGTACTATTGATAGTTGGTAATGATAAAATGGTTGTAAGTCTTAAAAATGTTTTCTCTGGGTCCTGTTTTGCTCTACAGTGCCCTCTGGATTTTTCAGAATACACTTAATAGAGAAATTCTATCATAAAGCAGTGTCAGCAGGCAGTGTGTTCATAATCATTTCATGTAATAACTTTCTTTGAGGGAACTTTTAGAAGTATTACACTCCAGAAGTCTAGTTTTACCACAATTCTGACTCTATAAGTTTCTCTAGAATGGAGCATTTCATATCCAATCACTCTGAATAACTTTGTTTACATATTTATGATTTAATCAAAAAGTGGCGGTGCAGTGGGTAGCACCGTTGCCTCACAGCAAGAAGGGCCTGGGTTCGATTCCCTGGCTGGGCGGCCAGGGTCCTTTCTGTGTAGAGTTTGCATGTTCTACCTATGTCTGCATGGGTTTCCTCTCACAGTCCAAAGACATGCATTCAGTCCAACTGAACATGCTAAATCGTCCCTAGGTGTGAATTTATATGTCTGTGTGTCTGTCCTGCGATGGACTGGTGACCTGTCCAGGGTGTGTCCTGCTTTCTGTCCCACTGACCACTAGGATCCAGTGACCCAAACGGATAAGTGGGTTAGTAATTGTGTGTTTGTGTGTAAACAAAAGGTGACACTGTACTTTAAATTCCATTCTACAGATCTTATGTTAAGATAAGCTTTCAGCGCTTTGAGTGATTCATAGAATGACAATGGCCGGCAGTGCCACTACAGAATGTTAGTAACAAGTGAGTAAGAAAAGAGTGTAGATTTATGTCTGTTTTGTATCTATTTTTATGTTAAACTCACGTTTTATACACCAATATATTAAGGTGATTTTTCACTTACAGTCATTTTAGGATCCAATCCATGGATGCATGATGCATATTGAGGAGGAATTTACACAAAAGATGTGTTACACACAAGCTCAAGCAGCTCTTGCTCTTAACATCAATCACTTGATGATTGACGTGATGGAAAGAAACTGCGGTCAAGTCCACATTTACTCACACAGTGAATGAAATCTCAGTATCCTTTATTCTGCACGTATTTATGAATCAATTCGTAGTTTCAGATTCCATAGAAAACCGAGTGAAAGCGGTGCTGGATAGAGGTAGTTGAAGCATCTTTCTTTTTTAATGTACTGGATTCACTTTGTTCATTGTTTTTATGGCATTTTTCCATGATGACCTGTTTCATGAATTCAGTAAAAGTTTCTACGTCTACACACTGAACCAAAAAAACTTGAATGACTGGTAGCGCAAGTGAGTAATACCTAGAAATGAAACTAGTAAACTGAACTTCTGTCCCAATGGTTTCCTCTGAGTGGATGTTGAAAAGGCTTTCCTAATGCAGAACAACCAGCCACGAGTATGCACACCACTTCCTCCACACACTTGTTTGCCCGGACGGCGTCACTACTTCCTCTGAAGTTTCAAAGCAGCTCACGCTTTCCTGTATTTTTTCAGAGAACTTGTCGCACAGGTCCCGTCTGAAAAAGGGATATTATTTACCGATAATGCTGCGAATCCATGTCATCCATTCATTTATTCAGATGACAAGCACTGTGCATCAAAAGCAGGAGACATTTCAGACAAGACAATCATGCATACCTGATCTCTTCTGGCACTGTGATCTCATTGTAACTTCAGTCTAGCAAATCTATGCTTGCACATATAGAAGGTCATCTTGCACATCTACTCATATCTTGCATTATCTGGATATGTACGTATCAGTATTCTGTCCCCTGCATCTCATTTATCTACTTCAGACTCACATATGTGAAAATGTGTATAATATCATAGCTTTTTATTTCATAACTATATTACTGTGCATAACTGTACGTTGGAAATGTATATATTGTGTACATGTGTATATATTTAGAGTCTAATATGTATATACACTGATCAGGCATGTATATACCACCTCCTTGTTTTTACACTCATTGTCCATTTTATCAGCTCCACTTACTATATAGGAGCACTTTGTAGTTCTACAATTACAGACTGTAGTCCATCTGTTTCTCTGCATACTTTCTTAGCCCCCTTTTACCCTGTTCTTCAGTAGTCAGGACCCCCACAGACCCTCACAGAGCAGATCCTATTTGGGTGGTGGATCATTCTCAGCACTGCAGTAACACCGACGTGTTGGTGGTGTGTTGGTGTGTGTTGTGCTGGTACGAGTGGATCAGACACAGCAGTGCTGCTGGAGCACAGATACTATTTGAATGATCCACCACTCAAATAGTACCTGCTCTGTGAGGGTCCATGGGGGTCCTGACCACTAAGGAACAGGGTAAAAGGGGGCTAACAAAGTATGCAGAGAAACAGATGGACTACAGTCTGTAACTGTAGAACTACAAAGTGCTCCTATATAGTAAGTGGAGCTGATAAAATGGACAATGAGCGTAGAAACAAGGAGGTGGTCATAATGTTATGCCTGATCAGTGTATACATATATATAATTTTTTTCTTTCTTATGTTTTTTTTGTGTTTTAAGTACTACAAGGGGATTTTCACTCACCTTTGCACCTGTGTAAATGTGATGTGACAATAAAGGTGGTTTGATTTGATTCGATTTGATTTGAATGTGCGCTGTTCAAGTGCTGAGTGACGTGTTGTGGTCCTAGAAATCATTACTACTCATAGCGAAGACCCCAAACCCCCTGCCCCGCCGCCCTGCGACCACTATGACGACACTTTGGCAAGTGATGGAAGTGTGATGAAAGTGTAACATTTTGCTTAGTCACATCACATTAGAGAGCCGGCAGCTGTTGGGGATCAAAGCCGAGCTGAAGTGGGTACGCCCCCCGTGCAGGCACATCTGAGGGGAAGAGTGTGAAAGTGAAAAGAAAGAGACAGTACATGCGTCATAACACCACCCCCTCTCCAAATCATAGCCACACATGCACTACGGTTCACCCTGCTGACATCAAAACCATGGCTTTACATTCTGGTGAATGTTCTTCACTACAGCTTAGGCTTAGAGGTCCGACCACAAAAATACAGATGGCAGCCGTTTGAAACCCAACGCATTGCATGTGTGTCAAGTTGGCCTAATTATGAAAGTTTCTTTCTTGAAGAACTAACAGTTTCCTTGAAGGTACAGTAAGCGATTCCAGAGAAAGACATGAATGAAATCTGAACTCAACAGCAAAAAAATAAATAAATACACCTCTCACTTCAGTGCTCCTTCAGAAGTTCCCCCAAATTCATGAACATGCAATGCAAAGGCGAATGACACTTTTTTAGATCTTTATGGCCATAAATCTCTTTGGAAATGTTTTTCGGACAAATACCATAACATAACGCTAGAGCGAACAACGACACAGCAGGTAATGTAACTAATGCTGGTTAAGTTGTGGGTTAGAAAACTGTCAAACAATTGCTGCTGAGAAGCGAACCTGTTGGTATAAGCTGTCATAAACATTAACCAATGGAACAAAAGAATTGATTGTATTCCAATGACGTCACAATCTCGCTGCCACCAATTTGTAGGCGATAGAAGTTCATTCAGTAGTGCTGTGGCGGATTGTAATCACATAACAAAGCTATAACAGATCTTTTAACAGGTTATAACAGGTTTTTTTGGACCACTTTTTAAATTAGATTTTTAAAGCATATTAACTGATATATTTATAAGTGTATTGCCTTGATTTAATTTGACTTGTTGCTGATAGCAAATGAAAAAGCTCTTTCAAAAGGTGCTCACGCTGCCAGCCAGATCAGCACCAGCTGGCTCTCATTAAGGGCAGCTCCGCCTCCCCGTCACCACCCCCAGCTCGCAGCTCGGCCGCCCGGGGGGCGGGGCCCGGGCAGCGGAGCTCGGGACTCGCTCTTTGTCCTCGTGCCTCTTGTTGCCGGCACCATCATCGTCGTACTCCTTCTCCTCCCGCCGTCACTCGGTGGAGCTCGGGCTTTGCGCTTCGCCCCCTCCCCACTCGTGGCTCTCTCCCTGCCGTGCTGGCCGAGGTTCGTCGCCGCTGGGGTGTTCAGGCCCCGCCTTCCTGCCGGCTCTCGCAGCCGTCATCGTAGGGGCCCCGGTGGCCTGCGCATGCCACAACAACGAACCACGCGAATTATTCTGTTTTCATCTAAACTATTGAATGATTAAGTTAATAGCACCATCTATAAATGCGTTACCATGGAGACGTGATGGCGTTTTGTGCTGATTTTTCCGTGGAAAAAGATCCAGTACAGTGGAGAAAAATCTGTACAAGTGGAACTGAATAAAACTAAATATCTGTATC